TCCTTGGCATTCCCGGCTCCCTCGGCAGCACCGGCCCCACCGCGATAGGGGAGTTTTGCAACCCCCCAGTGCAGCCTAACCCGGCGAGCTGCACATTTCCTGGCAGGCTGGCTCTGCTTTCACTCTCTGTCTTACAAAGGGGGATTTTTCACAGGCTTTCCTCCCTGCAGCCTTGTGACTCTGACAAATCGCTCCGTTGGGTGTGAGTTCATCGGAACCCAGGAAAACAACATGGTGGGTGGAAGAAGGGACGTGTCAGACCTACCGCGTTTCCCCCCCCCCACGTCGCTGACTTGTGTGCGGTGCTGTACAGTAATAGAGAGAGAGACCCACACGCTGCGCAGCCCCGTGGAGGATGGTACCACGGCAAAGGGGTCAGTACAACAGCACTGCAGGGTGTTGCTGGTTTATGGCTCCATGGGAGAGGTCTCATTTTAAGGCAGCTACGAGAATCTACGTCCATGTAAGCAGAGAAGAGACGGACGATCTGAAGTCAGTCGTCACTCCAGTTTTATGCCAGTGTAACTGAGAGCAGAATTTGACCCTCTCGTATGGGTTTGGCTGTCTGTGTCACTGAGGCTTTTAAAATCTCCCTAATTTTCTTTTCTATATCAAACAGCCACAACTGGAGGCCACTCCCAAGAAAGCCATGTGATTTCTTGTACAGAACTTCCTAGGTGCAGATAAGCTGATCTGCAGATCCAGGAGACTTTCCCCTTAGCTCCCTCCTTTAACAGCAAACTTCCTTGTTTACTCCTTCCCAACAAGGATTATTTTCCGTTTGAATAAAAACAAACCGTTGGGTCTAAACTGTTCCTGGGTCAGGAATATGCTGAAGGGGTGTCTATGAACTCCTAAAGGCTGAGGAAATTCTCCACAAAGAAACAGCTCTATTGCTCTGGAAATGCTGATTTATTCAATACTAGATTGACCCTGGCATTGCTTGGGTCCTTCAGGGCAGGAGGCTGGGAGTGTGGGGATGCAGGGGTCAGGGCAAGGGCTTGGGGATGTGGGGGGCTCAGGGCAGGAGGCTGGAAGTGTGCAGGAGTCAGGGTTGCGGGTGAGTGGGGTTCAGGGCCTGGGCTGAGGATTTGGGGCTGCAGGAAACAGGACTGGGGTGAGGGCAGGGGGCCGTGCAACTGACTTGCCAGCTGCTTCCTAGGGCCAGCCTGGGGAAGCAGAGGCTGTGTAGCCTACCTGCCAGTTGGTTCCTAGGTCTGGGGCGTTTTTTGCCCCCTGTGGTCATTTGGCAGTATAACTGTCATTCCCCCCTGCTTGCTGGCCCCCTGTGTTTTTTCTACAATATAACTGTTCTTGCTATCACCCTCCCCCCTTTCCACTTGATGAGAAACAATCACATTCCACGCACATCCCATTTCCTGGCACAACCAAACCCTGACTTCGCTTTAAATTATGATACAAGGAATCTGCCTTCCCAATTTGGTAGTCCTAACTCTTACCATTCAGGGGGAATTCTTGAACAAACAGATTCACCAACGGAATAATGGACACACAGAAAGATGCACAAACTCTCTCAAATAGATAGCAGATTAATTATTATTTCTTATACAGAAATCTGGTAAAAAGTAGGGTACATGACTCTGACCCTGTCTTAGTCTTTTAGTTTCAAATAGATGGCATATCTGGACCATGGCAGGCTCCGGGGCATCAAAAGTCCCTAGTATTGGTGAGAATTAGGAAATAGCTGAATCCCTTCTGGACTATAAAGGTGGGCAAAGATTCTGAGGGATTTTAAGGGTGGAGGGGGAGAGGAACATGGCCAACCAACTAAAAATACATGAAAGGATCCCCTTGAAAATCTGCTCAAATCCACCCTGGCTTCTCTCCTTTCTGTTTGTGTCATGGCTTCTGGCATATGGAATAAAGAGCCATTTCTGCCAAGTCAGTGGGTGGCCAGCTGATGTGTTTCACATTGATTCTCTTTGTGCCTGTATTAGCACAGGGATATCAGGCCTGTCTCATTGTAATTTTCAGTAACAGGGATGAAATTGTCTATGTTCCAGGTACAGTATATAGCTTGTACGAAGGAAGGGAACATGACTGAGTTGTAGAAGAGAGCGGGAGCTCAGTATCCCATTAGGATCTGAGCCCTGGCTTACAACAATTCTTGTATTGCTTAAACTATTTCAGTTGGGAGTGTGATTTTTTCCTACTAAAATAGTTTAAATCAGTGCCACAATGAATGTGGACTCAGCTCTACTGTCTTAACTTATCTCCCTTCCCAAATGAGAGTAGCTATACTGGTATAAGGCATGTTTATTTTACCATCTATTTTAGAAACATGCATCTGTCTGTCTGTCCAGCCGTCTGTGAATCCGTTTGTTCCAGAACTCCTCTTAAGCAGTTTCAGAGGGGTAGTCATGTGTGTCTGTAACTGAAAAAACTGAAAAAACAACAAATGGTCCTGCAGCACCTTAGAGACTAACAAAAAATGTAGATGGTGTCATGAGCTTTCGTGGGCACAACCCACTTTTTCGGATGAAGTGGGTTATGTCCACGAAAGCTCATGATACCATCTACATTTTTTGTTAGTCTCTAAGGTGCTGCAGGACCATTTGTTGTTTTTTCAGTTTTTTCCTCTTAAACAGTAAGAGCTAGGACCAACAAATTTGGTATGCAGCTTCCTCTTATCATAACTTAAAGATAGGTAAGGGCTTGGTTGTGCCAGGACAATGGGATGTGCCTGGAATGTGATTGTTTCTCATCAGATGGAAAGGGGGTCTGGTAGGAGAGACGGTATACTGTAGAATGGCCACTGGGGGCAGCAGGGGCCAGAGATGGGGACTGGGACACCTATAACCCCATTGGGGCAGCAGGGGACAGAGGAAGGAGAAAGCAACAGCTATCTACTATATATTTCAGAGAGTTTGTTGTTTGTGTGTCTGTCTGTCTGTTCCGCAGCTGGGGGACATGCACCCCTGCCCCGGCTTTGCCTGCTGCAGCAGCCATCGACAGATGCTTCTCACCTGGCCCCAACCTGCTGCAGTGAGGGGGGGGCTGAGTAGTCCTCTCTCCCCAGGGCAGTCTGCATCCTGAGCCCCTCCTCCCCAGCCCCGCCCCAGAACAATGATTTCAATAAACAAAACTTATTTGAGTGAAGGACCCGCGCAATGTCGGGCAAATCTTCTTGTACCAATATAACTGGATTTAGACTAGGGGTTGTACTGGTTTAACTACGCTGCTATAATTATAGTGGTACAATTTTATATGTATTCAGGACTGTAGACATTGCTATAGTATAGCTAATCAGACCTGTGATCCATTTTGTCCAATATACTGCCTCCCTCAGCAGTCTGGACCAGTTGCTGCACAGGAAAGCTTGAAAAGAGCAATCATGCAGTGACCTACACTTAGAAGTTTCTTCCTGGTGTCTTTCAGCTAAAGGTTGGTTTTTGCTCCAAAGAGAGATGATTTTTATCCCTTCTGTTTATTGATTCCTTCCCCTGCTTTTTGTGATGGCTCTTCTACTAACTCATTGATTGTCCTAAGGCAGGTAACTTGCTTTCCTTGTACCTCAGTCCCCACATCTATAAAATGGGAATAAATATTATTGTTGTTGTTGTGCAGAAGCCTGGTAAAAGGCAGGTTGCCTGACTCTGACCCTTTCTTAGTTATGTTAGCAGATATCCTTCACACTCAACTTCCTACTTATAGACGAGATGTCTTTGGCTTTCATGCTAGGTTGCCATCTTAATACAAGGATTTGTGTTCCCACATAGTAATTGAATTCCCTTAGCCACTTCTGAGTTTAATACAAGCCATGTGAATAGGTGAAAGTCATGGGTTTGGTCTTTATGGCAGAGAGGCCAGAGTGAAGCTAATTCAAAATACTGGCCGTATGGCTGGTGAGCAATGGCAGCTCTGCAGCAGCCAACCGGGATGACAGATAACTGAGATCCTCAAGGCAGGCTATTAAGGAAAAGAAGTGCAGAGGGATATATGGAAGTCAAACCCAGGATTTGAATTCGGGGCTCTCAGTTCCAGCCCCAGTGTAAGACGTTCTGGCTCGTATCTCACTCAACCACCCATTTTACTGTGATGTCTGTTACCTTTATAACCCACCACAGAGTATGTTCCCATCTGGTCTCGCTTGACAGTTACACCCAGTGGACAATCGCACTGGCCTGGGCGTCAATATCCGACCTCCAACAGCGGAGTAGGGGGACCCAGGCCCACCCACTCTCCTGAGTCCCGGCCCATGGCCCTAAGGTAGGGAGGATGACTCCCTAACCTAGCAAACGGAGGTGATGCCCCTAAACTCGTTTGCATATGGGCTTCGCGACCCTGCCCTGGGCCACTTCCTACCTCCGCCGTCCGAGTCTCTTCCCCGCACAGCCCCTCCCTCTTCCCCGACCTGGGCTTCTAAATCCAGCCCCACTGCTTCCTGACTATGGCGGGGGGGGGGCCTCCTCCGGCTCCGGGTAAGAGCGCGGTTGCTTCACCCCGCCATACCCAGGTTTGTCTCACAAAGCCTTGCTGCTTATCCAGGGAGGAGCAAATGAGGCCTATATCCAGAGAAATAAATGTCTAAATATGCAAATTTAGCACAGCTATTTAGAAGATACTTACAGTATGATTGTTGTCTAGAAGGTATTGACGAAGCTCTACTCTTCCCATCAGATGGATAATTATTGTAGTCAGTCTGGTTACAATCTGAAAGTCAATTGGGAAATACCAAACTTTTCCATGCTGTTTTGATGTGCACTTCATAGACATGTCAGATTTTTCTGCTCCAGTTCCCCAGTATAATAAGAGGCAATGTCTTTCCTGCTGGTTGACCTGCCTTTTAATGGGAGACAATGTTGGCAGAGCCCCAGGGTAGGAAACATACGCCCATACTCAAAAGTAAATGGTAGTGCTGCACCTTCCACGTCGATGTGATAAGAATATGAGTTGCAATATAAAGTCTTCTTTTATCTATCTGTCAGTTCTGTGCTGGAGTGATAGAGACGGCAGGCTACATTTCGCCTCGGAGAAGAGTTACAGGGTGAATAAATCCCTTCATTATTCTTTCTAAGAACTATGTAAAAGAAACAATGGTCCAAGGAGTGTTTCAGCGCATCCCACAGACGTGCTTATCTCTAATAAAGAATGCGCCCTTCAGAATTATAGGGGTCAGTGTACAATATCTCACATTGATCCCAGCAGTTGTTTAAAACAAGGATGGCAGTGATATACTTAATTTTATGCATGCTTGGAATAGCCCTCAAATTCCTGCTAGGGAGGTCTTGCCATTTTGGGGATCATCTTGCTTGTAAATGGCATTGTTTTGTTGTGTTAGACGCTGGTCTTATCATCATTTTTAACAGCCCCCAAGCTTTGATTAGATGGCACCAAAACACCCCGGAGAGAAGGTGTGCAATTGCTTAATATGTGGGGGGCAACAGCATATCAGCTGGCAGCGTCTTGACATGTGGCTCTAAGGTGTGGCCAAGAATGGTGATGATCGGATGTAAAGCAGAGAGATCATCGGGCGTCGTGTGGTGGGAAGGTTTCATGGCACATCGCCTCAAACTGACATGTGACTATGACACGGCACAAAGGTGCCACCGGGCACGAGGTGTTAGTGGCACGCTGGCATGTTGTGGCACTCCGTCCCAATGTGGCCCGTGACATGGAACTGCAGCCTGCGGAGGCAGTGCCTGGCGCTGGCACGTTGTCGTGGCGTGGCACCAAGGTGTCACAGTCAGTCAGTAACACGGTGATGTCATGGCATGATGACATCATAGCTGTCAGCGAGCAGCCTCTGCCAGTTTGGGGCCACGCCGCCCCACTTCCAAGCCCCTCCAGAGAACGGTGGGGCCCGCCCCCTGCCGTTACACCCCAGTGACATACATTGAGGCCTCCCCCTCCTGGGGGTTGGTATAGTCCTTGCTGTTTTTCTATAGTGCCCATTTATAAAAAAGGAAATAAGAACAACCCAGGAAACTACAGACCAGTTAGTTTAACTTCTGTGCCAGGGAAAATAATGGAGCAAGTAATTAAGGAAATAATCTGTAAACACTTGGAAGGTGGCAAGGTGTTAGGGAACAGCCAGCATGGATTTGTAAAGGACAAATCATGTCAGATCCATCTGATAGCTTTCTTTAATAGGATAACGAGTCTTGTGGATAAGGGAGAAGCGGTGGATGTGGTATACCTAGACTTTAGTAAGGCGTTTGATATGGTCTCGCATGATATTCTTATCAATAAACTAGGCAAATACAACTTAGATGGGGCTACTATAAGGTGGGTGCATAACTGGCTGGATAACTATACTCAGAGAGTAGTTATCAATGGTTCACAATCCTGCTGGAAAGGTATAACAAGCGGGATTCCGCAGGGGTCTATTTTGGGACTGGTTCTGTTCAATATCTTCATCAACGATTTAGATATTGGCAAAGAAAGTACACTTATTAAGTTTGCAGATGATACCAAGCTGGGAGGGGTTGCGACTGCTCTGGAGGATAGGGTCATAATTCAAAATGATCTGGACAAATTGGAGAACTGGTCTGAGGTAAACAGGATGAAGTTTAATAAAGACAAATGCAAAGTGCTCCACTTAGGAAGGAACAATCAGTTTCACACATACAGAATGGGAAGCGACTGTCTAGGAAGGAGTACGGCAGAAAGGGATCTAGAGGTTATAGTGGACCACATGCTAAATATGAGACAACAGGGTGATGCTGTTGCAAAAAAAGAAACCATGATCCTGGGATGCATTAACAGGTGTGTTGTGAGCAAGACATGAGAAGTCATTCTTCCGCTCTACTCTGCGCTGGTTAGGCCTCAATTGGAGTATTGTGTCCAGTTCTGGGCACCACATTTCAAGAAAGATGTGGAGAAATTGGAGAGGGTCCAGAGAAGAGCAACAAGAATGATTAAAGGTCTAGAAAACAAGAGCTATGAAGGAAGGCTGAAAGAATTGGGTTTGTTTAGTTTAGAAAAGAAAAGATTGAGGGGGGACATGAGAGCAGTTTTCAGGTAGCTAAAAGGGTGTCATCAGGAGGAGGGAGAAAAATTGTTCATCTTGGCCTCTGAGGATAGAACAAGAAGAAAGGGGCTTAAACTGCAGCGAGGGAGGTTTAGGTTGGACATTAGGAAAAAGTGGTGAAACACTGGAATAAATTGCCCAGGTAGGTTGAGGAATCCACATCTGTGGAGATATTTAAGAGCAGGTTAGATAAATGTCTATCAGGGATGGTCTAGACAGTATTTGGTCCTGCCATGGGAGCAGGGGACTGGACTCGATGACCTCTCGAGGTCCTTTCCAGTCCTAGGCTATGTCTACACTCAAGGCTTCTTGCACGAGTAATATGCAAATGAGGGGTAAGCATGGCATATCGCCGAGCCTCATTTGCATACCTAATGAGCCACCATTTTTTTCAGAAGAGGCTCTTGCGCCAGAAGGAGCATCTACACGGCCCCTTCTCGCACAAGAAAACCCCTCTTGGGCAATGCCGTTCTTCCTGGAAATAATCCGCGTAACGGCATTGCGCAAGAAGGGGCCGTGTAGACGCTCCTTCTGGCGCAAGAGCCTCATCTGAAAAAAATGGTGGCTCATTAGGTATGCAAATGAGGCTCGGTGATATTCCACACTTAGCCTTATTTGCATATTACTCGTGCAAGAAGTCATGAGTGTAAACATAGCCCTAGTGTCTTTTGAAGCCAGAAGGTGCTCGCATGACAGGGTTTTGCTGCTTGAGGCGTCGTAGGTGAGCGGGACACAGGAATAGTGCCAGCACCCCACTTCACTTGTTCTTTATCTTGTGCGTTTTATCTATGTAAATCAGCTCAAACTCACTCTCTTATTTTCTTCCCCGCCCCGCCGCCCTTTGTTTTCAAGGAGACTGTTCTACTTGCAACCGACTGCTATCAAAGATCTCCGGGCCGTGTGGACAGTGGTGCTGACACACCTAAGTGAAGCACCCATGGGGACCCTCAAAGAAGAATAACCAGTTAACTGGTGGCATGGCCCAAGTAGTCACTATCCCATGGTCCAGCAGGTTGGAGCAGGTCCCCGCTGCAGGATCCTACTTAACCAGTTAAACATCATTTTTAACTGGTTAACTTTTTAAATGGGATTTTACATCCTTAATTTCTACAAACAGGCCATTTATGCAAATCCAAAGCTGTTGTTTATTTGTTAGTTTTGTAGTAAGCAGCTACGGATTATTGTTTAGGTCTAGAAACACTGGCTCCCTGGAGTCCAAGCAACAAAAAGGACTTAGTTCCTTCCTTTTGTTGGGTTTCTCATCCCTACTCTTCCATGTACTCTGAGCTGCAAACTAACCAGATGGGAAGAATTCACTTGCATAACTCCTTTATGGGGAGCAGGTCAGAGCAATAAAAGTATTTTGCCCTTTTGTTGACAGTACATAGAGAAATTCCAGTTGCAATCTAGTCTTCTGCAGCTGGTTTAATTTGAAATACAGTGAAATCTTTATTATCTGGCACTCTGTTACCCAGAAAACTTTGTTAACCGGCATTGCCCCTTTGTTAACCGGCATTTTACTATTATTGTCCATTGTTTTTTCCTAGGTTGACGGAACCCTCAGATAACCAGAACATCCTAATCCCCGAGCGTGCCAGATAACAGGTTTTACTGTAGTTCCAGGCAGTCTGATGCACTGGCCACTTTCCCTTTTTGTTACGGTTTGATAATGGACTTATGGACAATGGTAAAAGGCAACTGATACTATAAGACGGGACTCAAACACTTGTCCATCCTCATAACCTACAATCACCCACACACTCAGGGAAAGAGAATGGAAGTTAGGGACATTAAGAAGCGCGTAATTTGTTAGTCATGGAGTTGACAAAAATGTTGTGGACTACACGATTAATCAATAAGGGTTAGCAGTGAAAGCACTCAGTCCTGGCTTGCGCCAAGTCCCAGCATCAACCCCGTTGAGGCTCTGCATTACTAAGGGACAGAGAAGTTGATGCCAGGACCTCGCATGAGCTGAGACTGAGCCAGCCTGCCTACACGCTATTAATGCAGTTCGCTATTAATGCAGAGCCACAGGGGAGTTTGCTGCCAGGATCTGGCATGAGCATCCCCCCCCTTTTCTGAGGGTCTGGTCTGTGGGGAGCGGGGGTCTGATCCCCCCTTCTCTGGAGGGGAGTCTGGCCAGGGGAGCGGGATAATGGGTCTGATCCCCCCAATTGTGGGGGGTCTGGCCTGGGGAGAGCGGCAACGGGTCTGATTCCCCCCCTTTTCTGGGGAGGTCTGCCCAGGGGAGCGGGATAATGGGTCTGATCCACCTATTCTGAGGGTCTGGTCTGTGGGGAGCGGGGGTCTGATCCCCCCTTCTCTGGAGGGGAGTCTGGCCAGGGGAGCGGGATAATGGGTCTGATCCCCCCAATTGTGGGGGGTCTGGCCTGGGGAGAGCGGCAACGGGTCTGATTCCCCCCCTTTTCTGGGGAGGTCTGCCCAGGGGAGCGGGATAATGGGTCTGATCCACCTATTTCTGCTGGGTCTGGCCTGGGGAAAGGGGCAATGGGTCTGATTCTTCCCTTCTCTGGGGGGGTTCTGGCATGGGGAAAGGGGCAGTGGGTCTGCCCCCCCCCCCCTTTTCTGAGCAGTCTGGTCTGTGGGAGGGCTGGGGGTTCTGATCCCACACCTTCTCTGGGGGGAAGCTGGCCTGGGGAGAGGGGCAGCAGGTCTGATCCTCCTCATTGGAAAGGGTGGGACTGGTTTGGGGGGCTGCCTGACTTTGGGGGAGCCCTGAGGATAGTGGGACTGACTCCGGGGGAGGAACAAGGATTCTGTTCCCAGGGAAAGGGGGATGAACTGTGGAAGTGCAAAGTTGTCTCTAATTTGAGAGGGATGGGATCCTGCCTTTCTCCTGGAATCTGTCAGGGGAAGGAACTGACATTGCTACAGGCAGTGGAGGCTGCTTTGGCTCTCTCTCCTGGGTGGGTTTTCCATCTGTCAGGAGTTGCTGAAGGGAGTTACTGACCCTGTTGAATGGGTGGGGTTTGAGTTGAGTTTGTCTTGAGTTTGCTGTGACTCTGCCAAGATGCTGACTTGGTAATGTGGGAAGGGACCCTGGGCTTTTAACTGAAACCTTTGCAGGAGAAATTGTGAAGCTGATGCAGAGGAAAAAAACTTCCTTTTTCCCTAATAATGCTGCTAGTAAAGGTAATAGTTTGTCAATTCATCTCCTCAGAGCCATTCATTATTAAGCTGTTTGACAAGGAAAGGGGCATGCGGCTTTTCTTATGTGTGTAGGTTCCTTTATTTAAAGGACACCGTAAGGAACAACCAAGTTGTAAGACCACAGCACTGGAGATGTATTAGTCATTGCAAGCTAAAGTTGCCCAACTGAACAGTGTAAATGTTTGGGAGTATGGGGTCAGACTATAAAACTGTCATGTTAAACTTTGCACTGGGACAAGTCATTTGCCCTTACTTAATCACACTTTTTTCCTGTCTTTTTAAAATAAGGATGGTGCTGCTTACCTACCCATGGAATGTCTTTTGATGAAATGCCCTATATAAGTTGGGCATTAATTTATTTATTTATTTATTTATTTATTTTTTTTTTTTGCATTCCCCAGGGAGAATGTACATCCTTCATTTAAACAATTGCTCTGGGGTCACTCTGTGGATGAGGGGTTCAGTGTGCAGGCTTCCCCAGGGAGAGAGGACTACCCCAGCCCCCTCTCACTGCAGCAGCTTGGGGTCCAAGTGAGAAGAACCTCTCCATGGCCACTGCAGTTCCAGTGGGCACAGATGGAGGAGGGATGAATGTCCCCCAGCTGGGGCAGGTCCAGGTTCATCTACCCCTTGTGCTCCCCTGCCAAAGTGA